ACTTCTGTACATTCGTCAGTATGCTTGCTGCTTCAGTTGCTTTAATAGTTGACCTGTGCAAAGTGTTGGCGACCTTTAACCGAATTTCGGAAAGAAGATGTTTCCGATTTCTCCGCCATCGATCCAAAACATCCTTTGCTTGTTGCTCTGACTGAACCACAAGTTTTAGGATTCCAGGACCGCATCCTCTATAATTCGATGAGAGAGGTATCCTGGTGAGCGATAGTGCAACGACATTATCTAAAGAAAGTGTTTCGCGAATGAACCGCCGCTGATCTAAATTGTGCTTTCCGGTCACTTGAACATCGTTAGAAGGATGTTCTGGCACTCCATGTATGAAGATTGTGTTTAGGCGGTCTTGCTTGCTGTGCCCCTCTTCGGTGTTTCGTTTTGGTTGTCGCGCGCTCCAAGGGACATCAGGATAGATACGTATCCAACAGGATTCGTGTTTTAGCGCGCTTGCGGAGAGCAAAACGTTTCCTACGTCTGTAGAGGATTCTAGAGTTACTCGAATAAGTCTGGGTTCACCATAGTGTGGGGAGTTCGGATGACGAGTAATACGTAACAAGTTTATGGGCTTGGCTTTGATACTCATCTGCATACACAATGAGTTCCATTGGTTTTGGTCGTCTGATAACTTATCCCGCAATGTGATGGCGGTAGATTCAGGGACATTTGAGCATACAACAGTCCTGGCACTGTTGTTGGATCCCTTAGTAATCGATCTACAAGGTATAGTACTCATTTGTCTTGACTTGTTGACAAGTGATTGTTTGCTCTTTTTCTCTCTATTTGCGTTAACGGTGTTTACAATGGAAGAGGACGCAACGGCGGCCACTCGGTGGACCCTTGCAGCAATCTCTGCATATGTAACCGATGTTCTGGGAGGCTTAGTCTCGACAAGAGATATTTGAGCTACAGGTACCAAGGGTTGGTGTTTGGCTGCTTCATCCTTGTTAATACTAGATGTCAGGTCTAGTGGGATTTGCTTAACCAGACGTTTTGAATGGTGTCTGATTTTCGTTGATGTGAGTAGTGTTTGATTCACGTAGGTACAGTCTGTCTTCGCCCGGCGTTCTACCAAAGTTGGAGAAGACAACGGAGATGGAGACATGGCTGATTGCGGTGCAGGGGAAGCGGATTGTTCGGCATTGCGTTGTTTAGCATCCGCTACGCTTCTGTGGTCCATACTCGCTTCCATTGAAGTAAGCTTATTGTTGATCCTCTGCTCTGCTTCTGCGAGTAACCGGTCGCAGTTCTCAGCTAGGATAAGCAAGCACTTAACGAGAGGGATGGTGGAACACGCAGTACAGAACCAAAATGCATCTTGGGAGGTATTTCGCTCTCGTAACTGTTGTTGGGACACATTTGCACATTTCGTGTGGTACCAAACCAAACAGTGCGAACAAGCTAGACCGATTTTTACTACCCGATGACATTCTCCTAACCCGCAAATGCCTTTCGATGGGAGTCTCTTCGGTTTCGCCTTTCTGCCATTCAATTTGGTGTCGTTACCTGACCCAGTGGGTTGGTTAGCGTTCTGTACTTTTACAGCTTTGAGAGCGGCGCACATCGGTCAGGCGAGCGTGGTGGTTACAAGGTCAAATGAGCGGTCGGCGTGGTCGCGCGGTCCGTGTGATGGGTTATGCAGCCGCACTGGCTGACAAGGTCACAAGGAATGACGAGTGACTGCAACCTGAACAGATCGCTGAACAAGGATTCTTTCAAAGCTGTGTTGAGAAACACTGGATCGGAGTAAGCTTAGGCTTTTCGGCCTGCCTCGAGAATTCTGTATCGAATGGTGTCACACAGAAAGGCAATCGGATCAATACGACTGAATTAAACGCTTGCGCTTAATCACAGATGCCAGTGAAAACGGTTAGTGATGGCACAGCCTCTAATCGTTGAAGATATTTCCACGTATGATGGATCACTGTGTAGAGCTGGTAAATCCGGTTCGAATGAGCGTACAGTGACAACGCTGCGAGAAGATGGAGAGAGGATAGAGGGAAATAATCCAAATGAACCAGTAGCACGCACGTCCCGCGTGTTAAAGGTTAAAGGTTTTGCAAACTCCAGCTAGGTAGCATCGGTTCTGGCTCCACTATTCGTTTCTCTCCAAATGTCACGGGCAAAGGGTAGATTGGTAGTACATGACCGTTGCTGACGGAATCCGTGTTTTTTGGTGCTATGATGTTACATCTTTCTAGATAGCTCAGTAGCGTCTTAGCTATGATCGACTCCATCATCTTTGAGAGAACAGGGTGAATCACCGGGCAGGAGTTGGCGGGCTCCGAACGGTTACCCCACTGAAAATCGGAATAAGAGTTCTCCGCTCCCACACGTTTGGAACTTGTTGTTCATCCAGGCATCTTTGGAACGCTTGGGTTAATGGTTCAACTATCCTCATGCCTACCATCTGTAGTGTTTTCGGGCAAATGCTGTCAACACAGGGGAAACTATAGGTACCTGGCTATAAGGGGCCAGGTGAAACGGTTTTGTATATCAATAAGTAGGATGACGAGGGATATAACAAGAAGTTCCCCAATAGTATAACTCAGTTTACTGAAATCACTTACATCTCTTGCCGATGTGCACTATCGAGTGATCTAACGTTGACCGATCTGCAGCAACGAGCTAAAATGTTTAGTCGGCCTTCACAATAATCAACAAACCTCACAGAGATTTCAGAAAGGTCCGGTGCTTGTTCATAATCGCAGACGTTCCAAAATGCTAATGTCCGCCTGGTATCTTGGCTGATGCGGTACCTGAACATGGCTAATTGACATAATCACGAATATTCATCTAATTCGATCGGCGTAGCGAAATCCATCCACTTCGCCTTCCAAGCCCTCCAATTATCCGGCAATGTGTTTCCCGTCATTTGTAGAGGTTGTGACAATGGGATCAATCGTTGTTCATCAATGGCGAGCAGTTTTAGTATGTCAGCACCTCTGACACCATGTTGTATTGGCCCTCCATGAATAAATAACCAAGTCTGGGCCTTGATTAAGATTCTCTTGTCCAACCAAACCCATGTTCCTTTTATACCTCGCGGTAGGCATAGCCACTCACCAATTGGCGAACTCCATCTGATCATTTCGCTAATGGCATCCACTCGAACTCTGTTCTCGCCATTGCAGATCAATTAGCTACTCGGTGTCATTGCTTTGGGACTATCGAGACTAACAAGCAAGAAGTCGGCCTAGCATTTTTGCTGCTTACTCACTAGCTACCACCACGTCGAGCTTCTCACAGTTGCATATTTCAGGCAAGTACCAGTCGTCGAGTTGGTAAAGCAGACACTAGGCCATACATCTGTGTTTACAACATCATCTTGCAAATTTGGGGTCACATCACGGCGTTTGTACCTCCTTTTGAGCATCTCTATTTGGTTTATATCAATCAGTTGTACATTTTCTTTAGTAGTCGCTGTAGTTACCAACCCGAATGAGTTCGAAGCGAGGAAACTGCGGTTAGGACTAGTGGTGTCTATTAACTTTGACCGTCTACACTAGGCGTTGAGATAGAAGGTGAAGCGGAGATTTTGGATGCTACCACTCCTAGATACCAGCAGTCGAAATCCACCTTGATAGTTGCGGTTGTCTCACTGGGTGTACTCGTTTGATGTTGATGCCTGTGTTTACCAACAAAGTTGTTGCCGGTTTTCGGCCCTATGTGCGTCACCCTGAGGAGGGGTCATTACGGAAGTGTACGGTCCAGCTTAATCAGCATATCTTTGTGTTGAGTGTGTTCAGTAATGTGCGGCTAGCTATGCAAGAAACGCTCTGCCGATTCTTCGATTGAAAAGTTAAGAATGTTTGGACTGCAGTGGCTCCTTGTTTTATTTTAAACTCAGTTTTACAGATGAAATCGAAGATCTTACCTATGTTCATTCTTGAGGTTGTTACTTTATCTATACTGAATCTGTCTAGTAGGCTAAAAGTAATCGCATTTTTATCTGCGCTTTATTTTATGAATCCCCGAGGCGATGAAGTCAGTTAGTTGTCCTCCTTTTTTCAGTGTAACAAGACCAAATTGGTCCGATTGGTTGCTGATGCGATCCAGCGAGGCTTAGTACTCTTTGAGGAGTCCAAGAAAAGCCAATATGTTATTCATTTCTTTGAGCTATGGTTGCAAGGAGCTGACTAGTGCTAAGTTCGGGCGTCAGCTAAAAGCCAGACAAAGGACACAATATTGTGGCAGTTTGGCACGTAGTGCAGTTGATGTCTTTAGGCTGTCGAGTGCGCCTGAACTTTGGTGGGACCATAGCAAACTTGGTGTCAAGGGTCAGATTAATCTTCAATGCGGCGAGAGGGAACGCGGTAAAAGCAACCTGCTTCGACTTGGCACCAAAGCGTTCATGCTGATTTCATGTCACCCGTTCATCAAAAATTCACATAGTCAGGTGATTGTTGGTGTAGGTTGTAATCCAGTTGACAACCAGCAGGCTGATCGAGGCAGGGTGACGCAGTTGACACAAAGGCAGGGTATGTCGATCGTCGCCGGTTGAGAAGATAAGTCAACCGATACGGTCGGTTGACTATGTCGACACTGAAACACAGCTAGGAGCTGCAAACTGCTGCAATTAACGAACCGAATGTCAAACATGCTAGAAAAGGGCTTGCTAAAAAGCACTGAGTATGTTTATTCTAATAAGGGTAAATATTTCGAGATATACGCGTGAATTAAAGTGGTCCTGTGCATGCAGTTCTTACAAATCTCCCGAAATCTATAAGATGATTTAGTTGATGAGGCCGTGAAATAAGTCCTACGCTTAGCAATTTACCAGATAATGCTGGTAAGTCCTAGTCGAATGAGTAAAATTGGTTGGTGTGTGATAAGATGCGCAGGGGAAATTCCATTATAAGGCGGAGCACAGAAGTAATGCGACGGCACGGCAAGTACACTTTGTGCAGTAGCAACTTGCGTAATCTTGCATTTATCTTACTGAAGCATTAAATGACGTCATAAAGTATGTGAGCAAAATTTATTTTCAGGGCACGCTGAATACCAAGGACGGGCGTGTGTTCCAGCTGCTTTTCGAGAATGATTTTGCAGTAGGGCCAACGAGCAACTCAGTGAACTCAGATGGCTTGCCTGTCAGTCCGGAGTATCCAGACACACCAATGCCAGTACTTCCAGGTTGGTTTCAATGTTACCGCTTGACTTAATGGCTAAATATAGTGAACCAGTTTGTTAAATTTTATTTGTTATGTCAGTAACAGGATGGTTAGCTACAGAATCCCAAATAAACTTGGATTACTCGCCACTGACTAAGCCGGAAGAACAATTTTTGTATGAAAGTTTGTCACAGCTAAGCTTAGTTCAGCAGCCATCACACTTCTGGGAAGCGAAGGAATGCAATTTCATGCTGTTAAAACTCCTCATTAGTATACATCCACCGGATCCTACTGAATCCAAACGGTTCACCGTGGCCAACAATGAACTATTGAACCTAACCACTAGCTGGTGAGAGAAAGGTCATTTCAGGTCAGACAGGATGCGGCTTGTGCGCGCTAGTGTCGGGTCTCAATCTGAAGAAAAGTCAGCCTTGCGCCTTTCAGAGTTGTGGCGGATATGTAGCTTAGAGCATACGTGACTAACTTCTTAAAAACAACAAATCCTTCAAAAGTTTCTCTTACTTTTGTACAAGTAAATAGAAACGCTTTATTTTGTATAGTCATTAGCTTATTTAACAGTATTCCTCTCTTCACCGACAGCTATTCATTCTTCTCGGCCAACGTCATAAACCGTTACCTACGGGCAGAGCCCTTTGGCTCACAGATCTATGAAGTTGCACTGGTAGTGGGTCTAGAAGAGAGGATATTTTGATCCAACGAAATTCCGCATGTTTTATGGCAATGTGGATGCGTCTTCATTTGACAACTCTTACTTGACTGCAGTAATTGGTGTGTTTTGTATCAAACTACATGGTGCCTGTTTCCTCAGCTGGATTTAAATCGCTCAGTCCGTATGACGTGCATGTCAACACAGGGGCTGTCTCACATGTGCTTCAAGTCTATGAGCTCTCTAAACAAACATAAACGGAGCCAACCGATGACTTAAGGTCAAGAAAGCCGATGCCATGACCACCCTCAATTAGGCTGTCGGAGCTCGTAGAGGACGCCAATTAGAATCAATCTCAAGGTTGACAATAAATTCCCTTCTTAGATATGGGATCAACTTTGCTCTTTCCAATGTAAGGCATACATATAGAGGGTAAGTAAATGCATGCATCTTGATCAGGTGTTTAGACGTTCGACAAGCCTTTATTTAGATCCAATTTACCTCGCGTACCATGTAATAGCCACCGTTACTCTTGGACGTTATAATGGAATGCCATGTTGTAATGTTGGGTGGCGAAAGCAATACTAGTCGGTAACAGTGCCACATTTGGGCCAAATACGGGACTGCAGAAAAGCTAGAGGCGGCTGGACCCAAAGTACAGTCCAACCTGCTACGACGACCACCTGTCTATGTCGACCATCTAAAAACATCCTCAATGTTTTCTCCTCTGAGTGATGTCCTTTTGCATGAACCTGTCCATGGTGACCACGTTTCGTTGGTCCCTTGAGTATTCACCTTATAGAGGTTTCACTGTACATTGTACAAGCTACAAGGAAAGGGGAAGCGAATCAGCAGGTGCAAGGAACGTGCAATGCGGTACTCACGAGAGCAAGGTATCAAAGCTGATGTACTGTCAGTAAAGTAAATGTTGTAAGCTACTAAGGGATAATCTTCTCGAGTGCACTACAGTAACATCGAAATAGTCAGCTGGGTAACCGTGCGTTAACTATAGGGTACACGGTGTTATACATTTTAGCACAAACCTATCAATAAACAAGCATCAACCTAGCCATTTGGTGGATGGGATAGTTACCGGTATAACATTATTTTTTTTCTATAGTAATGTCAGCGCGCTACACATGTGGCTTTGATAAATACGTTCACTCTTGGTAGCAATAAAAACACTTTAACGGTATCGCGTGGATGAACGAGAACCCACCCTTGTTCACGCATTCTACACTCATTCTTATAACACCCTTCAGTTTATTTTAACGGAACGAAAATGACCGAACACATTCCGGTCGATACATCGGACACCAAACTGCAGGAACATACCCTTTGTCAATATGGCTGTGGAGTAGAATGCAGTGGACAAGAATTTAGAAAAGTAAGCCATCCAAAAGCAAAGTTGTTTTGTGATAGTTATGGTTCGCTTTGATCGCACGTCCCAAACAATTGAATGACGACTAACTATAAACCATTCCGCAGAAGAGAATTCCAGTGTTTTGTCTAACTTATGACGTGCCGTACTTTTGCATCGAAATCAGCGTTGTCTGTAGTTAAAACCAAAACCGACTCAAAAGACTATAAAACCTACACATTGCTCTTCACATTTTCATTACATTGCAAATTGTACATGTGCTTGTTGGCCGCAGGCCAAACGATAAGATTCTTGCTCTGCAATCCAGAGGTAACCGGTTCGAATCTGCTTACTTGTAGGTGACTGCAACATCCACCTCCAACGCGCATCTGGTGGTAATCGCGTGACAACGAAGGGTCGGTGCGATGTGCTGACGGACGACTGATGCTCCTATTTTCGTGTTTGATGAAAACTTCTAGGGTGAAATGCAATTCGTCCAATCTCCAAAAACGCAACAATACGTCTCCAGTCGTGGTAACAAAAGTTTACCGAGATTCTCGGTGTTACATTGGTGGTGTCCGCTTGTCGGTATTTACCAGAGAATATATGAGAAGAATGGGATAAATTTAGATATCAACTTATAGAATAAAGCAACTGAAAATATTCGGCTACTTTAGGCACAGTGTGTTTGTTTTCGTCCAAATAGATATTATCGGTAGTTCATTGACTGTTGTGGTGAAGTCTGATCGGCGCGTTGTGTTACACTGGTTACGGTACCAGCCGTAAGTCCATACGTCCCGAGTCCGACTCAAAGTTTTGCATCCCCAGGGGAGGGGCAAAAAGGCAGAAACCAGTCAGGGATAATAGCAGATCGTGTGGATGATATCCACGATCCGAAATACTAGGAAGTTAATATAGATCCAGATTAAGATTGTGTGTCACAATCTATTCGCACCGCTATTATCTCAGAATGAACCCACAATAGATCACTAGTCGTTTTTGAAAGCGCTGTTCGCGGTTCTTTAGGTTAGAGGAAGTTGGCTAGTACACTATATTGCGAGTTGGTCCCCAGCTCGTTGGTATCCAGCCAAAGCGTCGAAAAAGAACGAGACCAACAGAGTAGCGCAGTGTTGGAAAGTGGAAACGTCAGCTGTAGATTTTACAAGATATCCATCTTCTGCTGAGCGGAACTGTTCGACAAATAAACCCGGTTGCGCCCTTCGGTACTTCTCTCCTTGTGCCTGTGGATTCAAACAAAGAAGATGCAAAATAGCAACAATTTGTATGGTCGGCTGGTGCTTCCACCTATTTCAACTGAACGATCGCTGTGGTTCATAGACGTTTGTTATTAGCTCGAGCCTAGGCTAGGTTCAAAGAGTTGAGCAATGTGTTTATTGTAAATTTCGGTCGATTTTTGTAATAGAAGAAAGGGAATTAGTTTAACAACAGTGTAATGATGGTTAAGCTCCAAATGACTTACTCTGTAACTATTTATGGGCCATGTGTAAGTGGCTGATAAAACCTTGGGGAGCTGAACAATCTACACGTTGCGGCGCGAGCGATGAACGCTTTATGGAGCCGGTGCAAAAAGAACAGAGACAGGCTGTTTGTAGATATCTTTCCCACTCTGCGAAGAGAGATACGCTAATTTGCTCTAAGTCAACTCCCTATTTTGACTTAGACAACTTGCACACTGAAGAAACTGTTAGTGGCTTATAATGGTTACTACGACTAGTTGGCGGATTGAAAATATCAGAAGGTGTGCACTAACAAAAATGAAGTATAAGTATTGAGGCGTGTTCGTTATGTATCAGTACAGTAAAGATATAAAAAGGATAGGCCGGCCCTAAGAATACAATGTACGAGATAGAATTTAATAGTGTTACTCAAAAATAAGGTAATGAGAAAGTGGTGACTTATCTCACAGCACAAATCCTGTTCGTGGGGAAATTGTAGGTCGCGGCCTGTCCGGTCGTGTGACGATTGCCTTGTCGTCGTGGGCGTAGCGCTTTTCGTGACGGTTGTCGAAGCACTAGTCGGAACGGTCGTGTGACGTTCGTTGTAGTCGGTCAGGGTATCGTTGTCGATGTACTAAACGCAAACATGTGGGCCGTAAGTAGTACGATGTGTGAATGTAGGTCAAGGGGAAGAGAAGTACACAATGTGAGAATGTGTTATCCGAGACGATCTCGATAAGAATGAAACAGTTTTGTTATGTTGACCTCGGTCGTGATGTAGGTCACGCGACTCAATTACACTATGTGAGGATGTGGTATCCAAGGCAATCTCGATAAAACTAGTAGTTTTATTAGGTTGACCTCGGATTTAAGTACACGTGCACGTGGTGATGAAATCTTCCGTTCCGAAGATAGTGTAACGGAATTAAAAGTGCATGTGTAATGCGACCTCACAAAACCATGCTTTCCTATAATCTTCAAGGTATGTGCTAATGTCTTAGCGCAGCCATTTTCTGAAGCGTACACTATGTGCCTACATCAACCCAAGATAGCCAACTGCTGACAAAGTGCCCGTATTACACCTACACCAAAAAAAGAAACCACCACATACCGGCTCATTGCCTGTACCTCGGTGACTTTAAAGACATTTGAACGAATTATTCTCGAAAGTATGCTTGTCAAAACCCACTCAACTGATAATTTTCAGTTCGCCTATCGCAGTTCAAGGTTCGCTTTGGATGCGTTAGCCTGTCTTGTACACTCCGTGCTTTTATCACTCGATAGTAAAAACAAACCCATGCGGATCTGCATCCCAGATTGCCGCAGTAGTTTCGGTTGTGTAAACCTAGAGCTGCTGTTACACGATCTGCTCGTTTCCGGAGTACGATATTCACGAGAACTTTTTCGTACATACTACTTTACCAGTTGTCTGCAAATTCTGGTGTTCGTTAGGGAGCTGTTTTGCCCCAAGTACTATCATCCACATAAAATAGCTCAATTCCCGCTCCAAAAGAAGCCATCCTGCTGAAGTAGGCTGGTGATGTGATTCTTAGTTTACCCAATCACACCACGTCGGAAAACTTGCAGTGCTTCTTGGGCAATCTTACCGCCTGGTCCAAACCCCGCTGTCTTTCACTCAAGGTGTCAAAGTACAGTGATGTCATTTTCTCGCTGTTCAAAGAAAACGGTTATCAGCCACCCCTTACACACATCCCGCATCTTACTATTGACGGTGTGGCTCTTTGGGACTGCTTACTGAAGAGAGAGTAGCTGAGATGTACATCAGCATTCTCCGTGCCAGTTACCATCAAACTTCGGGCAGCGTGCGAGTAAACGGAGACACTTCGTCACCTTTCAGTATCACGAGCGATGTAAGACAGGGTTATCCAACCTCTCCATTCTTGTTCAACTTCGCCATGGACGAGATCCTGGATACGGCCCTGGAAAAGTCCGAGTCCTGCGGTTTTGTACTGCTCCCTGGTGACCGTCGCCGGCACTTAGATTACGCCGATGACAGCGCTGTGATTTACGAATCCTCCGAAGCCGCCCAGCATGTGCTTCTCAGACTGGAGATGTCCGTCTGCCAAGTTGGGTTGACCTTTATCTGCTTCTAAATGTAAGGTCCTATTACAAGACTGTCCAAGTGCATGTCCTCTCACCCTTTCGGGGCATCCGCTGGAAGTGATCGACAAATTCATTTATCTTGGGAGTTGTTTTACTATTGGCGGTTCGACTCTCCAAGGCTGGGGTCGCTTTCGCTAACCTTCGTCATCTGTGGCTTCGTCGTAAGCTCAGCTTCGCTCTCAAGCAATGAGTCTACAATGCTACGGTACGAGCGATTCTAATGTTCGCATTTATTGTGCAAATGTCCAAGTACTCAACCCTTTATACCTACCGACGTGTACTCTACTGTGACCATAAGCCATTTGCTGACGATCTATATCATACGTCTCGGGTGCAGTCATTTGGTGCTCATAAAATGATTGTCGCTATGCCTCCATTCCTTTCCGATATAATATACTAACACACTCACGTACCATTCCCGTTAAGTTCAACCTTTTACTTTGTCCATCCAAAAGATTGTCCATGTGCAATGCAACTTCTGGTAGGCGTCTCTGCGCGTCTGCCTTCCATCCGTTTTGTACATGTGTTTTCATAAACCCCGGTAAATTCAGTATGGCTGAGGGATAACTGGAACTATAACTATACTCACTCTCATCACTAGTCTGCGGAGTGCAACATGAAATGGAGATATCGTGATCATCGCTAGTCGGTTAATTGTCGGGACTGTTCACTCGCCACAGAATTTGCAGGAAAATTTCTCTTCTGCGATGCACCGGCGCTCTAAGCGTCATGCTAGTTAGCATTGAGCAGCTGGTCAAACTACGTTTATGTAACCTACAGATCGATTTCAAAAAGCGGGATGTAGAAAGCATAGTCTGGTGAGAAATACCATGGAGCTTACATAGTGACGTGAATCGCGACCGAATCATAATAATACGAGGAGAAAGATACCGTAGCTTATCGTCTCGGTATGTCACCATACTAGACTCCACTTGAGAAGGTAGTAAGGAAAGCATAGCATAGGTCATGATGAGTACAACATTGCAATGGACAACACTTGAACTCATCGCGAAATACAACCGAGTTAAATAAACCTAATAAAGTTAGGTTACCTGTATCTCATTCGTTCTAGGCATGTGCAATAAAGATACCTCATTGCACCAAGTCAGGTTAATCATTCTAGAATGAAGCTGTACCCAAACGTGACTTACACGTGGGATATAGAATACAGATGACACAAAGAAAATGACGGAGATGCAGTAAGCAACTTTTCAAGTTAGCATGGAAATGGTGCGATTAGGTCCACTGCAGGCTATCCGTGTCGTATGGTAAAACCAGAGACGGTTATAATCGTGTGTTGTCCGATGGGAGCGAGAATCTACGGGGATGTAGAACCACCAGGCAGTCCGTCGTGTGTTACTATCTATTTCCCCTTGGTCACTTGTTCTGACCGCTAGCATATGTCGGTCAATTCATCAGTGTCTATATCTGGGAACACATGAGAAG